CCCTAAGATCAAAACTAATTGTTGTTCATTGTGAGTGTCCTCACCTTTTATTGTGTAACACCATCTACCACACCCTGAAATTGTAAAACCTTCCACCTTTGTTTTTCCTTAGCTGATCAATAAACAAATCTGTGCACAATCTGTGAATAGATCTGTGGACCATTGCTACTGCTGCTCAGCCTTCATGTGCATACTTGTTAAGCTCTGATATATGGGAGCCATGCATGATATTTGTGGGTTTGAATCTCCGTGTCATCATTGCCATTAAGCTTTGGAGGACTGATTGAAAACACTCTAGGATGCACTTTGTCTTCTTAGTATGGCTAGAATCTGGCATAGGCTGCCTTGAAATTTCTAATTGGAAATCTGAATTGTGTTCCTCTGTTAGGTATGGAAGATCATGCAGAGATCCATGCCTGGTCTACACCTAAAATTTTATTGTTCCATGGGAAAGCAGAGTGAGGCCTACTGTTCTCTGCCACAAAGTGCCTGGTTTCTGCAGGACTCCATGCTAGAAATTCTGTGGTGACTTTATTTAAATTTTAAAAATGGAAGTTTTACTTAATTTCATATTAATATGGTTAGTACAGTGTGCCCTATGAGTGTTTTAAATTATAAAATTACATTTATTTTTGCTGTTACCCACTTATGATATGCTGCATTGTTGTTTTTTATAATTGTGTTAGTTTCCCCCAGTATTGTCTATATCTTCTGATAGTTTGGACTTTTGGCATCTATGAAAATAAGGGGAAGGTGTCCACCCCTGGTTGAACAATAATTTTTGATGGGAGTGGGGGATGGCTTGCCAAGATTTTGGAAAGTGGTCAAGGGTCACACTCTTTTCATAATATAAATGGAGGAGGTACAGGGCCTGGGATGGAAGTTGGGTGCAGAAGGGTCCTTGGGGTAAGGGACTGGTGTGCAGGAGGGAGTGTGAGGTCTGGGAAGGAGTTTGGGTGAAAGAGGCAGTTGTGACCTGGGGCACTGGACTGTTGTGCAGGTGTTTGGTTTGTGACCTAGGACAGGGTATTGAGGTGCAGGGGTTTGGGTTGTGACCTTGGGTAGGGGATTGGGGTGCAGGATCTGGGAGGGGCTATGGGTTCAGGAGGGGGACAGAAGGTTTGGCTTATGTGGGGGAAAGGGGCAGAAGGTTGGGGGTGAGGAAGAGGCTGGGGTACCAGAGACAGGCTCTGGCAGGATTTTCAGGCAGACTGCCAGCCTGCATGCTCCAGCCCCGCACAGGCTGCAGGGATCATGTGCGTTAGTGAATAAGAGCCTGAAAGAAGGGAGGAGTGGTGCTTCACTTGCTGTCTGTTCTTCAAACAGGCAGCTCCTGTTGGCTAGAAATCGGCCAATGGGATTATGTTGTGGGGTGGGGGAGCAGTGCTCACAATTGAGGGAGAGAAACGGCTATGGCATTGGCTTTTCTGAGAGGTTAGAAGGGGCCCCGGGGCAAGTAGGGAGTCTGCCTGAGGCTTCCTGCTGCATCCACAGGCCAGATCTGGTGGCTTGGCGGGCTGGATCCAGCCCCCAGGCTACATTTTGCCCAGTCCTGTGTTAGACTGAGGGATAAACATGTTGGATGCTTCTGATAAAATGGTCAATATTGAAATAGTTACAGAACTACATTAAAAAAACAAAACCGTGTAAAACTTTAAAGCCTACAAGTCCACTCAGTCCTACCTTTTGTTCAGCCACTTGTAAAGACAAACAAGTTTGTCTATGTTTATGGAAGATAATGCTGACCACTTCTTATTTACAATGGGACCTGAAAGAACGGGCATTTGCATGGGCATTTTTGTATCTGCTATTGTCTGGTAACTATGTGCCAGATATGCTAAACATTTGGATGCTTGTAACAGTCCGGGTCAGCGGGAGGCCATGCTGACCCACTATCGTGATTAGGTGAAATAGGAACTTCTGCTTTCTGGTTCAGGGTGGGGCAACAAACAGACAAGCAAAACAGTTAAAGGCTCAGTCCTAACCACAGGCTGAGCAGCAGTTTGTGGAGCTACACCCGAATCCAGGCATTGCAGTACAGAGGCAGTTCATATAGTTTAATGCTCAGGCCTTTCTGCAAGCTGAGTGGTAGTCGGATCTCCTTGCTCTGGCAGAGAGCCGACAAATGCAGGGGGGCTTCTGCTGACAGGGGGAACCTGCCACCCTGGGTGATGGGGTGGCAGGGTGATGCAGGCCTACCCACTCCACTGCATCCCAGCCCATGGCCCCAACTGTGGCAGCGTGGGCTACCACTGGGTCAGCGGGGATCCTGCCTACAACATGCTGACTGAGTCAGCGGGGTTCAGGCTGCAACATGCTGCCCCACCCAACCTCCATTTCATCAGCTGACACTAGGTCACCTATCCCTGGGCTGTTTCCCAGTTCCCCCTGGGGCCTACTTGACATGTCTGCTGGTTCTCGGCGCTTTCAGGGTGTCCATAGGTTTAGGTTCAGGGTCTGGGTCACTCACTGGTGCCGGCAGTGAAGCCCAATCTGTGGATCCTGGTGTAGCCTCTCGTTGTCTCTGATGATCCTTAGAGCCTTGTGGTGGTCAGGGTAGCGTTGGCATATCCCCGGGGCTGGGCAGTGGTCCCGGGGGCCAATCCAACTGTACTTCAGATGGCATGGCAACCAGGCCTCCCTCCTGGGGAGGCCAGGGAAAGTGTCTGGCCTGCTCACCCGCTTGGCTCTAACTGAGCTCTCTGCCCCTGCTCTTATAGTCCTAGTCCCGCCCTTCCACTTATGGAGGGTAAGGAAGTTAAGTAAGGGTTAATGGACTGGTTTATAGACACTTCCTCTTTCCTCCTTTGAAATGTACAAGAACTCCAGTTGGTGCTCTTGTATATTTCAAAGGAGGAATGTGGAACTATGTGTGCTGTCCAGGACCAGTGGAAAGTCCTGCTGATTCTGACCTGCATGTGGTGTGCCAGTGGTGTCCCCTGCTGACCCTGGGCTCCATGCTGCGCTGCCAATTTGAAATGCCACATGGAACTGGCTTTACTGGGGGACTCCCCACCTGATCGTGGATTCTGCAGAAATGCCACACACAGCTGATCCTCTGCCTTAGTGATTCAATCCTGGACTCATCTGTGTGGTGCTGTTGCTTTGAAATACCCCTTCTTCTCTACCTCTTTCCCCCCTTTGCTGCTTCTATCTGATAGAGGCAGCAAGAGGGGCAGAAATCAACTAGTTGAAGAGTGACTCACCACAATGCCTCTTCATGCTTTGACTATCATCCCAGAGAATGCTTCCATGCTGATGCAGCTTGCTTAAAAAAAGTGCATTAATTAAATTGTGACTGAGCTCATGGAGTGGAAGGGGGGGGGGAGGGTTTCCTGCTCTGTGGTTTTACCCACATATTGCCATATATTTCATTTTATAGGACTCTCGAATAATGGCCAATCAAATATTGTTCGATTTTTAAAAACACTTTCAGTTCAGATTTAATGAAAAGAAGTTACCAATGTGAGACTTCTAAAGATAACTATAGTACACAGCCCAGGTGAATCTGAAGTGCGGTCCAAAATCTTAGAGGGATGAGTTATGGAATATGCTGTCAGAAGTTTAAAGAGCAACACACTGATGCAGAAACTACAGGACCTCACCCACTAAAAAAGAAAATCTGATGGTATCTGACTTGGATCATGAAAATGAGTTCAGTCCTCATTGCTGTGGATTATTATGGAGCAGAACTAGTTTGCATGGAAACATGTTCTCTTCAATGGTGGCTAAAGCATAAAGGTGCATAGAAATTTTTATCATATCAGACATGTCCGTACCTTGCAATGCCAGCTACAAGAGTGCCATGAAAACACCTGTTTTCACTTTCAGGGGATGGAAATAAGTGGGTAACATTATCTCTTGTAGGAAAACTTGTTTGTTTTAGTGATTGACTGACTGAGTGGACCTATAGGTGCTAATACAGGGATGGGCAAGACAGCGTTCGCAGGCTCGATGTAGTCCGCCAACATAGTTGATCCGGTCTGTGGCCACCCTGCTGCTCCCCTATCCCCAGGCCAATTGAGACTTGGGGTGGGAGGAGCGCACAAAGTCTCCTCCTGCCACCAGGGGTGCTTGGTGCCTAGAGGGAATCACCAGCTGTTAAGAATGTCTGGCAGTTCAGTCTAGGCACTACACGCCCCTGGCAGGGCACAGATGGAGGGGGCGAGACACTTCACATGCTCCCCTGACCCCAGGTCATGATTGACCTGGGTGCAGGAGGAGCAGGCAAAGTCTCCTGCCACTGGGGAGTGTGGCATCTAAAGGGGACCGAACAGCTGGTGGTTCTCATTAGATACCATGTGCCCCTGGCAGAGTGAGATCGACAAAAATACTTCACGTGCTGCCCCACCCCCAGGCTAATCAGGATCTGTGTGTGAGGGAGCACACAGTCTCCTGCCCTCACCCTTTCAGGGTGTCCTGTGATTATTTCTGAAATTTGTGAAGTGGCCCCCCTTTCAAAAAATATTGCCCACCCTGTGCTAAACTTTTAACTTGTTTTATTCTTTAATGCAAAATACTGTTTTACTTCTGAACAGTGTGACTATTCGTAATGAAAATAATATTAAGTAAGCATTGTATACTTTCACAGTGCAATTAAAACTGTGATTTAATCACAATCATTTTGAAATTTCAGAGTTAATTTTTAATAGTTTGACTGCCCTACTAAAAAGCCAGAAACTTAATGTGATCTAACATTCTGCCTATCCTGATAACTCTCATAATCTACTCTCCCTTATTAGTGAGAAGATATTTCAAGCCCTAAATAAAATATTGTTTCTTACTGGGACTCTTACACATATACCACTCTGTGTGCAGCCTCTTGTTCCTCATCCCTCTAATGTGCCATGATTGCAGTTAGATTGGTGTGGGAGAACATTGCTCTGGCATGGTACATTGGCATCAATGGAACTGTGTACAAATGCTATTGTTTGCCTGGGCAGGTCTGGTTGCAGGATCAGGGCCATGTACAATATCAATATGCATGTTTGTATTTCCAGGTTCCGAGGTGAGACAGGACCAGACGTCATTTTTGAAATACAGTAAGTCAGTGAAATGCTTTGAAAATAAAAATATAGACTATTTCCTAATTACCCTTTGTTTTCTGGCTTGTACTTTTAATTCTCCACTGTATTTTAGCTCTTTTGATAACTGCCTTTCTAAAGTAGGAAATTTTGTAAATCTGTCATTTGTAGTGTTTACATTTTTCCTCCCTTGGCTCTTTCCTTCTGTCAAAAGCAGTTAATGTTACTTGGATGCCATCCTTTTTTTGTGAGAGTATTCTGTATTTTTTTGTTTTGTATCATTAATTTTTTTGAAGTCCATCTGAGCAAGAGTGTCATGACAACACTTTTGTTAAGAGGGAAGAAACTCTATTTGAGCATTGAGATTTAATAAAAGATTTCCTTGAGCAGAGTTCTTGAGGCCTTCTCTGGGGTTTGGAAGGTAGAAAATACTGAATGTTGCAGTTGTGGACAACTAATAGAAAACTGGAATGTATACCCTTCATTTCAGAATATGCTAAATCTGCAAACAAAGTCTAATCATGCACATCCTGAAAATTAATTTACAATTCTATTGCAAAGTATTGTATGCTTAAACAGTGGAATAAACTGAAATTATAGCCTCTTTTTGCGGAAATAGTTCAGTTATTTGCACTTTTGCTCAAGGAGCAAAAGAAGTCAAATGTCTGTTCATGGATAGTGACTTTTGTTTCTGTTTCTGCAATCTAAAATTTCATCCTATTTGGCTTCTGTAATCTGGGATTGTGTTGGTCCCTTAGCAGAAGGGTATAGTTGTGTGATTTCTGTATACTTGACAAGAATGATAAATCTGTGCCTTGAAAGATGGCTTTTAAAAACAAGTTTATATATAAATGGTAGGTGGTATTCTTTTATGGAATGAGAATGATTATCATTTATTGGAGATTAAGAAAATGAATCTAAAGAATCATCAGGAATGCAAAAACTTTTGGTTTGGAATTAGCATAAAGCATGGTAATTGAATTCCTCTTTTGATAAGAAGTTGAAAGAAGAAGGAAAATTGGACCAAAAGGAATGTAAGATAAAAACATTTCCAGCCAAGCCCTGGGTTGGTCTGGAAAGATTCTTTAGTACAGGCATAAGAAAAACTTCTGATTAGCCTACATAAGTAAAGAAAGGTTTAGAACAAGCTATATCCTAACAAACCTATTCATCAATGATGAGTGAGAAACTCCCTAATAAATGAAGAAAACTTGTGCAAAATGTAAATCTTCATGCTAATATTAAAAAAGACTTCTAACTCTTGTGTTTGCTAGGAAAACCTGTCAGGTGTGACATGCTGGAAGTGCTGTCTTAATGAGTCTGTACAGCTCCAGTGTTTCATCTAGTGCTTAGAGCTGCTCAGCAGAGTAAAGTTGACATTAATTTAAGCTTAGCAATAGTAAAATACTCATTGTGCTGTAAAACTGAAAATTTCTCACGAGCAAAACCCTTGTTTTGTATAAATTAAAACTTGTTCAGAGTTCAGAAAGTGTAACAAAATTAGCTTATAGTCTACAGACAGGTTAAAGGAAAGGTAAAGGGAATGAGTTCAACAAATATGCAGTATATTTTAAATTTATATAAGTAGGTCATTCAAATTGTGCCTCAGATGTGACAATCAAATCAGCAGGTTTCTCATTGACTTCAAAGAGAGAGGTAATTCTTTGGCCACATGTACAACACAGAGTGTGGCTGTCATATGTTGGTATATAGCTGCCAAAGTTTGTGTGTTCCTCGTGTGTGCATTACCTGGTTGTTTGTGTTTGGTGCTGCATATACACATGAGTAAATGCAAGGAATAGTGTACTGTGGGTATATAGTCCAGAGTGCCATAAGCCACCAACCATCCTGTGCTGTTTCTTCTGTGAAATTTTCATAACATTTTGTGGCATAGAAATTGCTCTCCTAGAGATCTCTGGAAGTTAGAAGTCAAGTTCCCAGAAAGTGACTTTCTTCATCCCATAATGCCATCCATATTCTATACTTTTTTAAATCTTTTTAAAAAAACCTTCATATGGAACTTTTTGGTGTCTGCCACCTTTGTCATGAATATTATAAATACAGGGTGAACTATTCTCCTCTATTTGCAAATCCACAGGAAATACCACAATATGACAATATCTTGGAGGTGCTCCCATCAGGGAGTGGGATCAGAGGGTTTCCCTGCTCTGTCTGTCCAGTGCTCCTGCATGTTCAGAACCTCCATGACAGGCAGAGGACACACGTTACTTTGGCTACAGAACCCAAACACACCACCTGCACCTTGAGAGCCTGGCACAGGCAGCTCACATGCCTGTTGTTTGCTGGCTTAGGCTTTCCTAGCACCTAGAGGTGACTTGATTTTTGGCCCTCCATACAATTTCCAAACCTTGTTGTGGCTCTCAGGCCTATAAGTTTGTCCATCCCTGGTGTAGAACCATGCCTTACTGGTTGATGTAAAGCCATTTAATTCAGTCTATCTTTGTAATGTAGCCCAGGTTTTCAGCTGAGATTTTAAGTGTGGAGGATAGTAGACTTAAGGATGAATCCAGGAAAAACATTCTGTGCATAGGGGACAGGACCGGGCAAGTCATGAAAGTGGTTTATGTAAAAAGATGACAGGTATGAATTAGGCTGGAAGCATTCATGGGAAAATAGGAAACAGAATGTGTAAGCGGTACTTAATAGGGAGAGACAGATTTAATAGCGTTTTGAAGACTGTGTCATGAAACTTGAAGGGAAGAGGGTGGATGAGACTGAATTGAAAAAGTGAGATTTCAAAATAGTGGGTTAGGGGGATGCTCTTATTACCCTGTTTGGTGCAGACTGGAGGGAGAAAATGTGGCTTAAGGGGAAGAGTCCGTGCAAGATGTTGCAGTAGGCGAGACGAGATATGGAGGCTGTAGTAGAATATTTGAGGTGGGGACAGAGAGGGGAAAAAAAGGATTGATCTTAGACTTGGTCTTGACACACCTTTTATATTGCTCTAACTTTAAGTTTAAGTTTAGAAACCAGTATGGTTAAAGCAGTGCAGAGTTTGAGAATAAGCTACATTGTTATGAACACTTTTGTACCAGAATAACAATGTTCACATTAGGGATGTCATAGTATAGTTGATTAACCGATAAGCAAAAGTTTATAGGTTCATGCTATAGACTACACGCATTTCCCTTCCCCCTTACCAGTACATTTTTTAGCAGGCTGGCCAGCAGCCCGGCTCAGTTCTGGCTCATGCTGGGTCTGGGACCTAACTCTGCTGTGGCTTTGCAAGGCAGCTCTGCTCAGTTCCGGTTTGCTCCAAGTCTGGGAGTTCAGACCGGTCCTTCCAGACATGGGCTGTTGCCATCCCACACTGCTGCCTCTTTATAGGAAGCAGCAACACAGGGTGACAAACAGCTGGTCTGCAAGAGGAGCTTCTAGCACCCTGCACTGCCACTGGCCCTGCCCGCAGGGACTATAGAATAGTCGACTAACCAATTAGAATTCATGATTATTCAATTAACTGATATTTAACATCCCTAGTTCACATGAAGGGATTGCTCTGCTAAAACTGCATTACTTGCTAAACAAGGAGAGTTAAAGCATTACAAAAACTGTTTATACACAAGACTTTAGGTTTGTGGAGAGAAGGCAGCAGGATTTGGACATTACTTGGATGTGGGGCAAGTGAAGGGAGGAGATCAAGATGGGACCCATGTTAGTAGAATTGTATTCTTACCTTAATGAATGGCCAAATGGATTGAATTAATTTCAAAACTGAATTCTAAATTTAGATATTCAAAAAAGTGACTGAAGATGGAGCAGTACATTTATGTTCAAGAATATTATTTAAAAAAACCACAGTGTTGTTAATGATAGTTCACAAAATAAAACTAACACAAATTTCCTCCTAGTTCTGCAATATGTGAACCCTTCAACACTGAAGGCTACAATAAACAAAATCTTAATGTCTTATATGTTGGAAAATCCACTAGCCACAAATCCATGTGACAGCCATGTTTGTTACTGAATATCTAGCATTCTTGTAAATCTCACTACTTTTGCTTGCTTTTAAGATGCAGAAGATAGAATTAAGGGTTTGTGAGTGAGTGAGCTCATGACCTGAAACACAGGTTAACAGTATGCATTTATCGATGCTTTTGATGGCTTTCAGGTGCTAGTTTACTGAGAATAATTTCTGCCCATCAGCTAGATAATGTCTGAGAGGATTTTTGTTCAAGTTGGCTATCTTTATTGCAAAAAGAAGGTTGTTAAACATACACTGAATAGCTCAGGACTCATGATGAAATGTAACAGGACCAAAAATAAGTGTGTAAGTTAATATATGGTGTTTAATAGTTTAAAAAGTTTCATCAAATGATCTAGTTAATTAAAAGTGCCCTTTTAGGGACAATTAATGGAGCTAACCAATAAGACTTTTCTGTTGGAGAGAAGTTCTCAGTATTAACCTCTGAAGCAAAAGATGTTCACAAGAGCCTTTTCAATATCTTCTAAATCCACTGTCTGAATATACATGGTATTTACAATGAAAGAATTGGAAAGAAAATTTTGGGAAGAAGTTGCAAATTGTAGATGTGGTAAAATTAACATAATAAATAAAGCAAATTGTTTAAGCAACTGTGTAAATATTCACAATTGAAGATGCTGTTTTAAGTCCAAATGTAGGTGGTGTATGCAATCCTTGAATCCTTTGTAAATTCATGGAAAACAGTAGCTAGCTCAGTCTGAGGAAATGGGATGCGCCGGGCAGTGAAAGCTTACCTAATGCTGAATATGAGAGATTGCAGAGTATCAGTGATTATAGACCAGATTCTTTTATTTTCATGCCTGCTTCATCAGTCACTTCATGCCATAAGCCACTGTGATATTTGAAATCCACGTAACAAAACTCTTTATGGGATGTGTTTGGATTTGTTGTTATATATGCAGATTAACCAAATTGTATCTGACTGCTACATGATGATTCAAATGCAGTAAGTTTACTCATCAATTTGTGTGTGTAGCATGAAGAGAAATAATTTTAAAATTGTACAATTTAG